TGCGCGGACGGAGGAGTATGAAATTTCGCACACTTATAGTTTATATAGAGAAGTAATGTAGAATGCTAATATTTTTTTTTTAATTATGCATAAAAAAATACATTAAATCTATAAAAAAAGTACACACACTACCGTGTGTTTGATATACACACGCATATATACTCTTTTGTTTGTTGTTAAAGTCTGCGGTCAAATTGAGAATAGATTAATATTGTTTGTCTGTTAATATTATTTGTCTATAGTCTTACTGAATGTCAAGCATAACCATAATATATTCATTTATTACAATATATGTTATGGTCGAATTTCGATCACTAATACTTATAAATGTAAAAGTTTATAAAGACATTTGGATATTTAAATGTTTGTTTCTCAATCACGCTTAAACGGCTGATCGAATTTCAATGAAATTTGACACACATATAGTAGTTTGTATACTGATTTACACAGGAAACCGCTGGTATTGTATAATATAAATTATTAATAATTTAATTAAGTATAAAAATGCCATTATTGCCATGAATATATATCTAGCTACTGTTTTAAATAGTACCTAAACCCTTCCGCCATGTGTGGAGTACTGCAATGCGTATAACCGTGATATGGGTACAGTACAACGCACCAAACATGTTATTGTTTTCTCAATTGCTCCTTTTAATGTATTCCAAGATACTGCGTGACAAAAGCTGTAGCCAGATCCGTATTAGAACCTCCGTTGCAATATGAACGCCTAGTACGTAGCAAATATTTTTTTTTAATATCAAGTATGGTAAACAAGCTGGAACCTATGTGATGGAATTTTTATGTTTATAACATAGTTTTATTATCTGTCTATAGACTATCTGGATGTAAGCTGTATTACATCTACACTAGTCTTTGTGCATAACTTTGCTTGCTTGTAGCATTCGATTTCTCCCTGGAATATTTTTTTCACCACAGTCTTATGAATAATAAGCCCGTGACTTCGTTCGTATAGAGTTCGGTTATATTGGAAACCTGCATATTATATCTTTTCTCAGTAAAAGACTAAATATAAAACTTCGTCTTTCTAACTTAAAATTAATAAATTTACAAATAAATTTTCATCTAAATCAAATCATCTCCTGTCTTACTCTCTTAGAGAAATAATTGAAAAAAAAAACTGTAACTGTAACTATCTTGGGAAATAAGAATGCGCTTATCTAATGTTTTTTTAGCAACGTAATTAAAAAATAAAAAAATGTAATGTTTAGTGCACTTTATTTAAACAAAAAAATAAGGAAAACTTGTGAATACGATACATATATAGGCATGTGAAAAGGTACGTACGAGTGTATGTGTGTGCGTGCGTGCGTGCGTGCGTGCGTGCGTGTGTTTGTGTGTGTATATGCGTGCAGTCAGAAGTACTTTCAGATAAAATAGAATTTTCCCAATCGGTTTAGAACTGACGGAGTTACGAGTTAACAAAAATAAAAAAATACAACCGAATTACTCCTTCTTTTGAAATCGGTTTAATAAAATAAAATCTCCTTTTTAGATTATCTAGATTTACTTGTAGGTATATATAATAATAAATTGAAGGGGATAGTAATGTATTAGAAGTCTACAAATAACTGAATAGCTTGTCCAAACAAGTTTTGGACGTTTGACCGTCTCAGACCAATACCCCACCTTAAAGAATATCTGGCTTTCCAGGATCACGTCTATATAGCGACATTCAGACACAATTCAATATACCACCTTATCCATTTACATTTAAAGTATAAATTACAAGAGGCTCGGCAAACAATTTTCAATGCAAATTCTCTTTTCAATTTCCATCCTTATTTCCATACCTTTAAGAGTGTTGCGAAATTGTTTTGCAAAGTCAAGAACCTTTGAAGCATACGATTAAGTGTACTCGTACCTTCAACAGTTTCTGAAACGTTGGGCTTTTAATACTTATATATATATATACTTATGTATATTTGAAACATTATTTTTTAACTCTGAATTGTAAAGAAGTGTATAGCTTTTTTTTATACCACAGGTGGTGGCAAACAAATATACGACCCACCTGATGATGAGCGATTACCGTAGTCTAAACAATGCCTGCAAAGCTAGGAGATTACGCACGCGTTGCTATAGAAACCTGCTTACAGCTTTTTTTAAGAATCCCATGCTATAGTCTCTTGGAGAAATCCCGACAGGTAATTCTACGTATAACTTGAGCGTTCGTGGACAAAAGCATCTCTGAAACCGCGCTGTACACGACCATCTAAACTTTAAGATATGAGAATGAATTACCCATCGTTAATCCATCCAGTAAGACCATCTGGTCGCTCTGTTTTATATTTAAGAGAAAAAAATTGAATGGTAAACCCACCTGCTATTTTGTTTTTTGATGGGTGAAAATGGAATGGTAACCCCGCCTGCGCTAACGGGATACGCTGGCGAAGGGTGAAGATGAGAATGAAAACAAGCCAGTTGGCCCATCATGATGAATTCATCAGGAATTAACCATGATAGTTTCCAGGGGGAATCGCGTGGAGGTCGATCTGGTTGGGTATATTGCTAGCAATGGCATTCTTAGTCTCCATTAGTAATAATCCCTTTTCCCCCGCGTGGCATCTACTAGCAAAATCCCCTTTATGGGGAGACTTATGTCCAGCAGTGGACAGTTAACGGATAATATGATTATGAGAATGATAATTAAATCGAGTTATCTAGCCGTTTCCACTGCCCGTATGTTAAACCGACCGTGGTTACGAATAGACAGATGTGGCGCTATCATGCCTATGTTTTTGAGGCAGAAAGATTTTCTTCTAGTCACTTGTCATCAACGTAACTTAAGTAAATTATAATAGTTTAACTAAATGATCGTATTAATTCCCGTCTCTTATACTCTCCAAAATCTAAAGTCAGGTCAGTTTAAAAAAATTAGAACCTTTTATTTTTTTGTCGTTTTTCGATTTTTAGGATTTTTTTTACGAAAGAAAATTTCGTTAATAATCAGGAACGCTGATCGGTTTCACGGACAGGGTGTGTCAATGTTAAGAAACTGCTGACCTAACTTTTTTTTATAACACAAGGAGCAAACGAGCATGCTGCTCATCTGATGGTAAGTGACTACCGCCAGATGTGCTGCCGGCCTTTTTTTTATACTACATAGAATGGCAAACAAGCTGACGGCCCACCTGATGGAAAGTGGTAATCGTCGCCTATAGATATGAGCAGTACCATGGACATAACAGAGTATACTGTTTCGCCCATAATACCCCCATGCGTTGCCATTCCTGAGGACTCAGGTGTTATTCCTCTGTACCCTGTAAATTCATGCCATATCCCATCCTTCAAACCGAAACACAGCCATGCAAACACAACTGCTTTACGGTTGAAACACGAATGGGACAGAGGTACCCAAGCAATCGACTTTTGTACGAAGTCTCCCTCTGGTCCCTTTTGACTCTCTTCTACCATCCGTCACTGTTACCTCGTCTGTGTATACCAATAACACAAGAGAATTCTCATTGCATTTTTATTTCTTAAAAAAAATCACTGTGCATGACTATTTAGGTTCTAGGATGGGCATAAATTCGCTAACAAATTTTGTGCTAAAACTTTAATTCTTGCCTGGAACTATAATATGGAAAGACTTATTATGCAAAAATGGACAATAGTCCTTGTATTATTAGAAGGTATTATGCTCTAGTCCGAGTACAAATGATATACCCTTATAACAAGGGTCGGATAATTCGCTGGGAACGCACTCTACTATGTCTTATGATAATTTAGAAATACACTTTGCTTCACTATTGCCCTTCCTTTATTGTTGCCTTATAACAGAAATACTTAATCTTGTTAAAGCTACAGTTTACTTAAGTAATATAAAATATATAATCCATATTTTCATAAAACAGGTAGTTAATTTAATATATGTAATTCACCGGAAATCAATCGTTATCGGATTTTTCATTTTTTTTCCTTTTTCTGCTTTTGTGCGTTGGTTTAAGACCTATTGTGACTCGAACGATATAAAATATTAATATTCGTTAACTCTATTGTTATATTTCTTTTATGCAACTTAGAATGGCAAAAAAGCTGACGGCCCACCTGACGGAAAGTGGTAACCGTCGCCTATAGACATGAGCAGTACCATGGCCATAACAGAGCACACTGTTTCGCCCATGATACCCATCATGCGTTGCCATTCCTGAGCACTTAGGTGTTATTCCTCTGTACTATATAAATTCACTGCCATATCCCACCCTTCAAACCAAAACACAACCAAACACAACTAAGACTTCGTACCTGACCAGTTTTTTTTTATCTGCCCATTTATAAGAAAGTAGCATAAATAAATAAAAAAAACTAAATGTAATAATATAATTAAAAACAAAAAATATCTATAATATATATCGATTTAAAGGATAAATGAGGTAGATATGACTGTAAAATTATAGGGATTGGATGCAGATTATTTTTTTATATCTCACTGAGGTGGCATACAACCATACGGCCCGCCTGATGGTAAGCGGTTACCGTACCCTAATATGTTCTAGTTCTCTGGAATAGCAATGAATTAAGAGATATCAAAGTATTCGGTGCTGTTCTTATTTATAAACCACGGTCACCACTTTCCTTGAGGTGCACCATTAGCTAGTTTGCCATTTCGTAATGCAGAAGAAAAAATACTAATCCAAATAGGAAATGTCTATAACCTTGGCTATTTACACGAAATGAATTCTAATACGAGTCGCATACAGTAGCTTTTGTATTTTCCCCATTATCAACGAGGAATATAAAATAGTAAAATAGCGAAATACCCTCCGAAGTAAGTAGCGACACTAACGACACCAACGGAAGAGGAGCGTAAACTAAATTTGCATGACTTTGCCCGTACTTCAGGCAAGTTTTAACTACGAAATTTGCTTCCAATGAAATGAACGATAAAAAAGTTGTTCGCGCGTTTCTTTAGTTTTATATATTTTTCGTAATAATTATAAATTTATTCTTATTAATAATATGCTAGTTCAAATCGGTACCTAGTGCTAAATTCATTTCCCTTGATCCTATCCTATCCAATCACCGTCATCGTCTTTACCTCCGAGTTACAACAACCAATGAGGACGCTGGAAGATTATAAGAAACTTCAGAGCTGTCTTCAATCCTAACCGTCAATGTGACCTCCGCAATCAACGAGTAATTACGTGTATAAGAAAATATTAATAACATTGTTGTGCTGTAAACTGTAAACATTTAAAGCGTTGCCGCTTACATAATTTGAAGTGCTGTGTTAATAGACAATATTTTAGTGTGTGTACATTGGTGACAAAGTGACGGAAGGAATCAAGGCGCCTGCACAGGACATCGTATGATAGCCCACGACAAGACGGTGAGTCCTTATATCCTTTCCCTATCCTTGCCACACCTAGATTTCTCCTATAAAACCCACCAAGAGTTGTTATTTATGATAATAACCAGTGTTAGATGATAGGTGAAGATGAAAGCAGGTCAGTTAGCTCATTGTGATGAATTCCACTACAATTAACCACGATGGTTTCCAGGGGGAGCCGCGTGGAGGTCGACCTGATAGGGGGTATTGCTAGCAATGGGTCAATTTAACCTCCATTACTGACAATCCCTTTCACCCCTCCAGAATTGACTTGACCAGCTCAGAATGCGAACGGAGCTTGCGCCTAGGTGGAAACGTATGACTGAAAGTACATACATACGAGTATTTTATCATTTTTGAAGACCCAAACGAAAATAATCTTATGCGAAAGGAAATTATATAATACATACATACATACATATCTGTCACGCCTGTCTCCCATTAGGGTAGGCATAAACAATGGAACGCCAAATGATTCGATTCAAACAAACCTCTAAAAAAATTATATAATATACGAATTATTACCAGCTATAGTATTAATTTATTTGAATTAAATGTAATTAAATTTTCATTATTAATTTACATAATAAGCTGTTTTAAATTCATTGATCCATACAATACATTCCAGCAAAACGATGCATGTTTCGAAGATTGAATTTTCACTATGAAATTTTCATTGAAATACAGCTATAAATTATACACACAAAGGAATTCAAACAACGCTTGCATAGAGTATATATTTTGTAAGTGATATACCATACATAGTATACTGTACTCAAATCATGCTACACCTTTTTGAAGGTGACACAGTATAGGATCCTTATTAATATTAATAATGTGAAAGGGAGTTTGTTCGTTTAACTTTTACCGCTTTAACGATTTAGCCGATTACTATGGGATTTGGTATATATGTCATATATAAGGAGAAGGACAAAGGTTGAGGATATAGACATTTTTTCTATTAGTAAAGATACTGTTGAAAACTGTGATAATTGCGATGCAAATGCGGCTAAACTATTATATATTTATAAGGACGACGAGATAAATAAAATACTTATTACGTTTCCAACATCCATTTTTACTAAATTTGAATAGAATTGACAGAATGCATTATATTTTTAATAATAAAAAAGTACAAGTGGCCAGTACGTGCAATAATAAAAAGAGTTCATTCTTACATATTAAATTGAATCTGCAACACATACCTCGGTCCCACAGAGAGATGTCGCCGGTAAACGTTAGTATATTAAAATAATAGACAGATACATAAATAATAATAGAAAAATATATAAAAAAATAATAGAAAATTCCTTATAGCTTCCTGCCACCATCACTCGGGTTGGTTTGTTTTGTTTTCAGTAATTTTCATCACCGGAGAGTTAATTTAACTTAACATTACATAGTTTTTGGTATTTATATTAATTATTATTAATAATCTATTTGCAATAGTGACCGTATTTAATCAATATTTTTGTAACCTGTTAAATTCAATGTTTATTTAAAAAAAAAAAGCTAATAGAGTAAAATTATGAAAGATGATTATTTAAAAATGTTTGAAATTAAATTTACTTGAACCTAAATTATTTATTTATTTTTTTATTGAACGCTTTATTGCAACAATATTAATATTATCAATATAATTGAAAAATCTTCAACAATTCGTTGCATATTATTGAAGGATTTTTGTCAAATATATATACTTACTACAAGAGTATAAATAATATAAGTGTAGTATAATTAATTGTATTTCCATTTCTTTTCTTTTTTCCTTACCTTTTTCCTTCTGACCTGACCTTTACGTCTTCTGTCGAGTGTCCCGTTTATCTAGGATACACATGATATGTCAATCGATATCCGCTCCCACTTTCTTGATGAAGGGTGTAGTTATTTCTCCCTCAGGTCTAAGGTTCCATGAATTTTATGTAAGGACAAGAAATGGGACGCATATAAATAAAGTATTGATATGACATACAGAGCTGTACGTAATATTTTATTGACCACAATTTGTAATCTATGAAAAACTATAGAAAACTCCAGGGTTTTCTATATATTATTGATTATAAAATTATAGTGTCATTCGAAAAACAATTACCTTCTTTTTTACCAACTTCAGAAAGAAGGAAGTTTTAAATTTCCTAGTATTTTTTTTACGAGTATTACCTTTATTACCTGTTATAACTCTGTCAGTTCTATCAATTCTAGTACGGATTTGGATTTTTTCTTAAAGGATTTTTTATGCAACTTATAATGGCAAACAAGCTGACGGCCCACCTGATGGAAAGTGATAACCGTCGCCTATAGACATGAGCAGTACCAAGGATATAACGGAGTATAATGTTTCACTCATGATACCCCCCCCCCCCCCATGCATATACATGGATATACTTACAGATCGGTTTTCCTTCCTTTATGCAACTTTTCTTAAAACCCCATACTGTAGTCTCTAGGGAAAACCTCGGCAGGGGGCTCATTCCAAAGTCTGAGCGTTCGCGGGAGAAAATTCCTTTGTAACTGCATTTTAAGCGACCATTTATGGATGCGTAGAGCATAATATAAAATTTTAATTTTCCATTTTGTTATTAATTTAATATTATTAATTATGTAGTAATGTTTGCACATAATTTATTTACATCTGCATTTCAAACGTGTATGTGTAAATGAGTTGTTTACTTGCATTAGGCACAATGAAGCCCGAAGCCCCGAAAATATTCGATACCTACATCGAAATTGGTAATACATTTAAAAGTGAACTTTATTCATATGCAGCGAAAATTTTAATTTGCTATAACAGTTTAACTAGCAGCGGGAGGTAATGATTTTTTAATTATATACCCACAAATGTTTTTGTCAATAGTTAGGTAAATATTTTTATGATCAGAGGGCCTACCATGAAATGTTTTCCGAAATTTCGGGCCCGAACGTACTACACATTTGATATTAAAATTACGTAATACATTCAGTTTAAAGATGTTAAAAATGTTAAAATATTATTTCTTTGGACTTTTATGGTAGGATTTATGACGAACGAAATGTTAAACTCCATTTACTGGGCCGATTTCGATATGAACAAAAACACGAAACTGAGTCCAAAAATTCGGAATTTCATTTCATGGTAGACCCCCTGTCTATACAAATAACTCGTTTTATGTTTGAAATAAATAAACTATTCTATTCTGACACCGTGTGGTCCTGGCATAGAATAGGATACCCATTCCTTACCCATGGATGTCTAAAGGCGATATGACTAAAGGGCGAGAGATGGGGAGCAGCATCCCTCTTAAATACCTCCAAATTATAACTGAAGTTACCTACCTGCCTGCAAAGCGTGGCAATTACTGGCAAAACCCCCCAAGGGTTGTATTCAGCAGCGGATATTTAAAAGCTGATATAATAATCAACTGTAAAGCAGTTGTGTTTGCATGGCTGTGTTTCGGTTTGAAGGGTGGGATATGGCGTGAATTTACTGGGAACAGAGGAATAACTCCTCAGTCCTCAGGAATGGCAACGCATGGGGGTATCATGGGCGAAACAGTATACTCTGTTATTTCCATGGTACTGCTCATGTCTATAGGCGACGGTTACCACTTTCCATCAGATGGGCCGTCAGCTTGTTTGCCATTCTAAGTTGTATAAAAAAAAAATTATGGTGACAATGACGAATCTATTCTACTTTTTGAATTATCCGATGATTATCGCATGTAATTTACTTTTTTATTAAGCGTTAGTTGTTTGTCACGAATTTACATTAACATTTACATATCGCACAAAGTCTATATTCGTATCATTTCGGCGTCTCCCATTCGGCCCTATATACATAGCCTCATTACATATTTAAAGAGCTAATACGAATTCAAGCACGCAATACGAAGCGGGCGATAAAAAATAAAAATAAGTACCCATCAAAATACGACACGAAAACACGGCGTCGCGACGGCCGAATTGTCACGCTCAGGGGAAGTTTTGGCGGGTAAAAGAAAAAAAAATATTAAAATGCTAAGCAAGTAGTCCGCGCCGCTTAGCTGGAAATGTTTGGTGAAATCAGAGTGTACCATAATTTTGTAAAATGAAAAATAAAAATTTGTCACGGACCTGAGTGTGACATTGGTTCAACAATATGCAGAAGTCCAAGCGAATTTGTATATAAACGGAAAAATAAAAACTATAATCTAGAAAAAAATCGCCTATAAATAAATGGAGAAGAGTTTCAGAACCCTGTAGCTAGACTAAAAATAAGGCATGGGTAACATAATATATTAGGTTCCTCTAGACCGGTGTTTCCCAACGTGGGGCCCATGCCCCACAGGAGGGACATTTTATAGTTAAAGGGGGGCAATTAAAAAATGAACTAGAAGCGATTTGAACTCTCTTACTCCAAGCCATTTAAATGCTACGAGTATCGGTGCCAAATTTAACAAAAAAAAAGTAAATTAAAAAAATGCTGTAAATATTTATTCGGTATTTGTTTGACGTTACCAAAATATCAACTGGGCGATTAGAGTCGTCAAGTAAACTTTGTCGGGAAAAATTATGTATGGTGGCATAAAAATTTTAGAAATATTCAAGTGGGGCATGGCACAAAAAAGGTTGGGAAACACTGCTCTAGACATTGATGGCGGAAAGAGGTCATCGCCCATTTTGATACCGCCCATATCGGTCTGATATCTATTTTCGAATATGTTAAAAGTCTGTTATCCAATATAATTTTTTGGATAACAGATTCTTAGTATATATAATATGTTATCGGACCAGTGTATAGTGAAGCAAAATCTTTCTTAAGACTTAAGGGTTCGATACCGTTTGTAAGCTTGGGGTTATCAACAATTTTTATAGCACGTCGTTGCAATGAATCGAAGGACTTTTTAAATAATTCTAACTTTTATTATAAGAGAAAGATTATTTAAAATGCTTGTATGTACATTATTCCATAGCACGTTCTACGACACAAACAGTGAACGTAAACTAGTATAGTTGTTTCCCGCGGGATCGCGTCCGCAAATCTATTTAGTTCGCATTTTGTTTTATGCAACATAGAATGGTTAACAAGCTAACGGCCCACCTGATGGAAAGTAGTAACGTTGTTCACATTCTTTGGAGAAACCTAATTCTTCCTTCGTTTATACTTATTTATTTATTTATTTAAGGCAAACAAACAGCTAGAACAATACATAATTATAAACTTAAATTGCAATTTGACAGCCACTAAAGTTTGCACAAATGTAATACAAGTGAAGGAAACACAAAATTAAATAATACAAAATTAAACAATACAAAATTAAACAATACTATTGTAAACCACAGCAACATTGTCAATAATAATGCTCAGAAGTTAATATTAGTATAATAAAGAGGACAGATTTGATTGTTTTTGGAATGGATAAATAGACATTATACAAAATTCATTACACTTTACCAGATTGCTTGGGTACCTCTGTCCCATTCGTGTTTCAACCGTAAAGCTGTGTTTGCATGGCTGTGTTTCGGTTTGAAGGGTGGGATATGGCGTGAATTTACTGGGTACAGAGGAATAACATCTGAATCCTCAGAAATGGGAACGCATGAAAGGTATCATGCGCGAAAGAGTATACTCTGTTATGTCCATGGTACTGCTCATGTCTATAGGCGACGGTTACCACTTTCCATCAGGTGGGCCGTCAGCTTGTTTGCTATTTTAAGCTGTATAAAAAAAAGTTGCCACGCTTGGCAGGCTTTTGGAGATGTTTTAAGAGGGATGCTGCTGCCTATCTTTCAACCATTAAGCTCTCTTAGTTGCCTCTTACGACATCTACGGAAAAGGAAGCGTTTGTCCATTCGATGTCGGGACCACATGGTACATATACATATATGTATGTGTGATTACTAAGAAATATTATATCTACTGTGTTAAATTAAAAAAAAAAAAGATTCGTATTATGTATTTATTATCAGTGACAGTTTTCTATGGAAATTCGCGGAACAGGACATTTTATTATGATTTCATTTAGCAAAGTGTTTATTCTAAGAACACAATTTGACAATTTTACAGTTCACAGAATCAACGAGAGAGAGAAAGAGAGATAGAGAGAGAGAGAGTGAAATGAGTTCGTATTTGGTACGTTTTATTTTAAAAATGCTACTTTCAACAAAGAAATTAAGACATACTTATGTCCTATTTAATCATTTTTATTAGTTTATATAGACAGAGCATCGAGTATCAAAAATTTTTGAACTTTTTTTCAGCTAATTGTCAAATTACCTGACCCGTTTTTTTATTAGCGTTCTGTATACTTACGCACACAATGTATCTTGACATATCTATGTTTAATTATTTAATAAATAAAACGAGTTTTTACGCATTAAAAAGGTGCAAAAATTATAAGAAAAAATAAATATAGAAGTTATAAAGGAATCACTCATATGTCACGCAAAATTGTATGAAAAAGTTGATCCGCTTTTCTCGAAGTATTTGTATGGAGACAATATATCTATATAATCTAAGCCTTTTTAATATTATAAATGTGAAAGTAAGTTTGTTTGTCTGTACCAATAAAGCGTCATAATGGTTTAACCAATTATCATATTCCTAACATATTCCTCCACATTCATCAATCTTTTCATACACGTTCGCCGGTTACGGGTACTTTTAATTTGGCCCGTCTTCAGCATGTCGCCTATTTGGTCATACAGATACGTCCTTCTAGGATGCTCCAACTGACATCTCATTCATTCATACTCGATAAATTTCTTTCGTAATTCTTCTTTCATCCATCGTTTCCAAATCAACCAATGCAATATTCCCTTTTATATTATAACTTTATTGTTATAACTTTATTGACTAAAATAAAATATGGTACAAAAGGCAGACTTAATGCTAGTAGCATTCTCTACCAGTCAACCTTTGGGATGAACAGTGAATCTTTTCGTTGTTTATCACTACATCATATCATCATATCATCATCATCATCATCATCATCATCATCATATCAGCCTTCAACTGTCCGCTGCTGAACATAAGGGGGAGTATTACCAGTAGTTGCCACATTGGGCAGGCGGATTAGGAACCGCAGTTAAGCTTTAAAGATGTTTTAAGAGGGACGCTGCAGTCCATCTCTCGCCCTTAGTCGCCTCTCATGACACCCACGGGATAGGAAGAGGTGGAGTCTATTCAATGCCGTGATAATATAAATTGAAATATTCTATTCTCGCAAAGTCGTTTACAAAAATTTAGTTTAATAAACTCTCAAAAGAGAATATAAAAAATAGTGTCATAGCCATTTTTAACGTTATTCGCTTTAAAACAACAAAAAAATATGCAAAATATGAATTTTCATGGAAGCATAAAGGGACTAAAACATACACTTATATGTTAACAGCTACACGTGTCCAACCCCTTCACCAAACAAACTCTCTCGCATATTTGCATGTATATTACAAGCTTTTGAATTACATTAACATTTATCATATGAAACAATTTCTGACATTCCAAGACTTTTATGTACATAATATTATTTTTATATTTAACCCACTTTAATAATATTTAAATATGGTAACATTTATTTTTAGTTCTCAATTGAACTACGGGGACAAGTTGAAGACGAAAGTGCTCGGATGTGGCATGTATAGATACAGGAAAATAATAAGTTCTCGTATAAAGTTTCAATTCATTGTCGTTTAAGTATTGTATTTTTTATGTAAATAAAAATTAATCAATGAATATGATAAACTAATTCGGCTATTTTTTTTTAATATTCATTAAAGTCCAAGGAAGATTTTTATGATGAGAAGATTTTGAAAAATTGCTCCTGTAAAAATGTAAATACCTCATTTTTCTTTATGCAATATAAACTGTTCGGAGTTAATTCAAATATTTCAATAAAATATTTTGTCTTTTCAAGTGTTTTTTTATGTTTTATTATTTCATAACTCAGTCAGTTGTATTTCGATTTGGAATATTCTTTTTTTATCTAAAAGTATAAACTTATATAAATATAGAAATTCTATCAAAATCGGTTCAGAAATTTAAAATTGAAGTTTTCAATTTAAAATAACTGATTTTGCCAGAACTAAAGTAGTTGGATCATAATTTTTTTTTTTCTCTTTTAAACAGAACGACGTATGTCGGATCAACTAGCAATAATAAAATAAAAAATATATTAAAAATAAATGAAACTATATTTTTATTTACATATAAAAATATGTAAATGTACGAATATTATCTTAAACAACATTTGCATAACTTCATGATTTGAAATGTAATTCTGGTGCGTATTTGAAAATGCAAGAGGTGACTTCGTTCCCCAGTTGACAGGGCGTTGCGGTGGCGTGGTTAACCTGAAAAATGGGAAAAATATTTTTACAAAATTTTTATTAACAAACTTGAAATGGTAAACATGATAACGAGCCACCTGATCGAAAGTGGTAATTGTCATCTATATATATTAATACCGCCTGTTAATGACAACTTTGTAATTACGACTCAGCTTGTACGAGCAGGCGCTTCTTTTTTTATTATTATTCTACCGTCCACTTTTGTGTTTCTAGTACTGTGTGTGCCATCTTGTTTTTACTTGGACATTGTAACGCCAGCTAGAACATTACTGTTAATATTTATATTAAATTAAACGCACTTATCAAGTATTATCAGAGATTATTCTAAAATAAATTCCATTGTGTCCACGCCGAGACACCACCATATACACAGAGTTTACTCCTATAAATTACTCAAGGCTCGTGGATTACGCTTCCCCGCAAATTTATTATTAATACCAATAAATTTACAAATAATAAGATTTCTGTGTTCTGTATCATGAAACTTTATTCATATTTAATTTTAATTTATTTAACTTTAAGCGACTTTAGTCTTTTTAATTTATTACTTAATTTAGAATTAATTCATAATTCATAAACTTATTATTAACACTTCTGTACTTTGGATTAAGACAATGTGACAATTCGTGTTACTACCGTGAAGCAGTTGTGTTTCCATGGCTGTTTCGGTATGAAGGGTGGGATATGGCAGTGAATTTACAGAGTACAGAGGAATAACACCTGAGTCCTCAAGAATCGCAACACATGGAGGGTCTCATGGTCGAAACAGTATACTCTGTCATGTCCATGGTACTGCTCATGTCTACAGGTGACGTAAACCACTTTCCATCAGATGGCCTTTCAGCTTGTTGGTTGCATTAACGAATGTATTTATAACTAATTTATTTTAACTTATATTTAATTTACATTTATTTAATTAAAAATGAATTTAAACTTAATTTACATTGAGTGGCTATCAATTAAATTTTGTCACTATGTCATATGTAATATACGTCAATATTGAATAAGTCCGTATCATATTTAGACTGTTAGTTGCATTATGCATATGAGTACAGTTTAATTAGATTTTATCAACGAGATTAACCAGTATGGATGCCTCGTCGCATAATTATTCAATCATGCAATGAGCTGTGAACACATTTACCCTTATAATCTGTGTCCACGGTTGTCGCTGCATGTAACTTTTTTCATCAGTAGCTCAAATCCCGTAAAATAAATCATTCAAATAACGGCCATGGTGAAAAATCGTTCAATTAAAGTCCTACCCAAAGTTTGCGTTCGATTTATTACCTGTCAACGGACTTGTCAATTTTGAAACAATGAAATTGTCGAAATTTCATTATTGAATGGACAATTTTTTTTTTATTATTATTTCAGCCGTTAACTGTCCACTGCTGGACATAAGTCTTCCATATAAGGAGAATTTTGCCAGTAGTTTCCATGCTTGGCAGGCGAGTTGGCAACCGCAGTTAGGTTTTCAGAGATGTTTTCAAAGGGACACTGCTGGCCATCCAGCCATGTTAGTCGACTTTTACGACACCCACGGGATAGGAAGGGGTGGCCTATTCTATGCCTGGACCACACGGTAAAATTTTCATTTATTAATTAAAATTAAAAGCAATATTAAAATAAATATTTTATTCTAATGAATAAAGGATTAATTAATTTAAACTTATTAATTGTTTTGTAAAACGAACAAAATTTACAAATGTTTTTTAACACAATGTTTTCAATAGTGTACGTGTTTCAGTTACATAATGGTTTTCACAACAAATTCACTTGTTCTTATAAAAATATTGCAGTTTTATCATGAGTAAATTTTATTATAATGCCGTGTGGTCCCGGCATAGAATGAGTTACCCCTTGCTTTCCCGTGAGTGTCGTAAGAGGCAACTAACAGAACTTAATGGTCGAGGGATAGGCAGCAGCGTTCCCTTAAAACATCTCTAGTACCTTAAAAGATTCATGTTAGCAATTTGTCTAATTATATAGTGTTTTTTTTTTTTTTAAGAAAGCATCACCACGAGTCCTTTAATAATATAATATTGTAAATAAAAAGAAAAAAATACTATGTGATTTTAACTGACATCAAAAGTGGATGGTTCTTTCTGTAAATTACAGTACCCCTACGGGGTGTCACGTGTCTTATGTACTTACTTATTATAATATTTAATTTGTACCACGTGGCATGCGAATAAATATATAAATAAATAAATAAATAATTCTAAAATTAACTGAAATCAATACACCAATTTTATGCAAATACAAAAGAAATTAGACATCGATATTCGAGAATCTCAAGATGCTCAATTGGAAACTAAAAAATTATACTGAAAATAGTGCATGTTTAAATGAACAATAGCATGCATTCCAGCAAATAAGTTACTCTTTTGTTCAGTTAAATTTGAAGTCAAACAGGCTAACATATTCTTGTATATTTTGTAAAAAAATATAACGTCTAGTCGCGTAGTTTTACAATAACAATAAGTATTCTTCTCTATTCATGCCTTTTTCTACGATAATTACTTTTTTTTTACCTTTTAAGATTCTCCCAGTACAGAAATGTTATCATTTTTATTCCATTACTTTTTCTAACATAAAAGAAAATTAAACTTATTTCGTCTCTGATTCTACATTGGTACTTATGGTAGCTCTGATTTCATCTTGATTTGTTAAGTTTTTCAAAATTTTAATAAGTAAATGAGATTATATTTGTAATATCTATATTAATCAGATAACATTTATGTTTTGATTTCATTTTGATTCGTAACATTTTTCAAAAATAAAATTCTGATGAATTTCGGAAATAGAATAGAATAATGTCAATAGTCCATGGTTTGACAGTGACATTTCTTTCTTTTTTATTGTTGACAAGTGTCTGACATTTTTGATGTATTCTTTTTATATAACATTTCGAATTTTAATGACTTATTTAACATTTATTCCTTTTAAGTTTTAATATTTGCATGCCTAATTATGGCGAAATATGAGAACTTATACTTATTGTAACATCTATACACTTACCATGTTGTAAATAATGTAACTAACACTTGTAAATAAATAAATAAATAAATGATAAAGGGTCCCGAATTGTTCTCGAAACTAGTCGAGTTTTCTAAATTTTATTACACACAAGTTATACCGGTAGTTATTACACTAAAAATGTATATATTTTTAATCCTTGTTTTAATTAGATAACATCTTCATATACTTATCTAATATCAACATAGTGGGGGGATAATGGATTATAAAAAACAGGGAGTAGTATCCCCAATGTTAGCAATACACCCTATCAGGTCGACCTCCTCGCGGTTCCCCCTGGAAACTATCGTGTTACCAAGTAAATCCATCACGATAGGTCTGACCTGCCTTGTCATTGTCATCTATCATCCCTCACTGGTGCCCCGCCAGCGTATACCGTTAGCGCAGGCGGTGTTACCATTCCATTATCATCCATTTAAATAAAAATACCAACGTACTTTAGAGAAAAAGAAATCCTAAATTAAATATTTTGTTCTCTAGAAACCCTATTTATTTATTTACATAAATAATTTTATTGAGCAAAATAAAATATGGTACAAAAGGCGGAATTAATGCTAGTAGCATTCTCAACCAGTCAACCTTTGGGATGAACAGTGAATCACGAATGCGGTATTTCATTATAGGGACAGATAAAGAAAATAACAACTAATAATGTATAAGTATATAAAATTAATAATATATACATGAATAATATAAAAGGAGTCACAAAATTTGACTTGACGATGTAACCCGCTTACAGAAATATCTAAAAACTAATTCTAAGTACCTAACAAACAGCGCAAGGCCTTTAAATTTATGGATTTATATCGAAATATCCTAATCTTTTTTACTGTAAAGTTTACTAAATAATGCATTAATGTAATATGCATGTAGAGGACTATATTAAATTGAGAGGTCAAAAACCCAGCACGCTGATTATAAATAAATAAATACCGTCAACGAATGAGTGGGAGGAAAGATTTGGTTTCATTTTCTTCATTTGTACACGCGTGGGGAGCAAGGGTGGGCAGCTAGTTTTTATTTAAAATCAAAATTTTTTGGATGTCACTTCGATACTACCAGACATATAAAGTACAGTAAGAACTCCAAGGAGAAACGAAAAAAAAATTTATATAAATATAAATATATATATGTATATATATTTTTATATTTTATCCATTTACAAGAATAAGAGAACTGTAGTGGCAATGGGCTGGTCACATAGCTCGAAGAACCGACAACCGATGGGCAAGAAAGGTTCTTGAGTAGACATTCCGTACGGGCAAACGCAGTGTAGGACGATCCCTCACTAGATGGAGTGACAACCTCAAATACATTGCAGGGAATCGATGGATGCAGGTGGCTCAGGACAGTTCCTTATAGCATACTGTGGGGGCGGTTTGTGTCCAGCAGTGGACGGATAATGGCTGAAATAATGATGATGATGATGATGATATTTGTTTATATAATAAAAATAAATAGATAAATAGATTTATTTAAACTTTAATGTACAGTGATTTGATTAATTCTTTGTTCCTTTAACGTACTTAATGCCGGACGGTGTTCTCCACGAGTCAGCTGTTTTTTTTTTTTTGATGGGTGATAATGGAATGGTTACCCCGCCTGCGCTAACGGGTTACGCTGGCGGAGCACCAATGAAGGGTGATAGATGATAATGAAAACAGGCCAGTTAGCCCATCATGATGAGTTCATCAGGAATTAACCATGATAATCTGGTTGGGTATATTGTTAGCAATGGGATTCTCAGTCTGCATCACTAACAATCCCTGTCCCCCCAACTGTTGGACAAACCGAGAAATAAGTATAAATATAAATGTACAATATTTTTATATAAAAATAAAACATTTGATATATTAATCCACAGTTTCCACAACTACTTTTCTAGCGAATAATAGTGTTTAGCTGTATATTTTTAAAGATTTCCAAAATACACGTATTTTGTTGGTGAAAATAGGAATAAG